TTTCACCCGGTTCGTACACTTTTCTCGTCACATTAGATCATAGATACTACATACACACATGGATAAGAAACAGGAAGTCGGTTTCCAATTAAAGCTGTACAAGATCAAAGGATGATGTCATATCCTGTGTGCCATGCTCTTGGCTAAAATGGTGGCTCTCTGAATGCTTGAGTGTATTTTATATTTTTTGAAAGTGGTCATTTTAACCAGATTAGGTAGGTACATGTTATCTTTGATGTATAAGCTGTGTTGTCCCGCATTTACAGAGTCAATCAGTGTCTTTATTGAAGAGCTATATTACAAAATGTGTTGGCCTCTTGTGTGGAATCTTCAAGATTCCTGATGATTAATTATCGATTATTAGTGATTATTAATAATTATTATTCATGGATTGTCAAACTATAAATACAACCATTTTATTATTTTTGTCACGAGTGAGTCGAGTGACGACTGTTGTTGATACTGTTGAGAGAGAGGAAGGTCTTTGACCTATTTCATTCACAAAGATATTTGGAGTATCGACTCCCCAACCTGAATTTGTTGTCAACAGTCAATTCTACGATCCAGTTCCCCTATCTGGAAGGACGACGGTGATAGTGGACGAGTCAGAGGGCTGTTCCTGATCTCGATCTTTACCCATTCTTGACCTAGGAGTTCGACGGTCCGAGGATAGCTGGGTGTCATCGCTCTAGCTAAGATCAGTTCTCAGAGCTGAAATCGCACTCTTCTCAATTGGAGACAGAGTGTTCGGCAGTAATGTCAGATGCAACTTCTCTGATACCGGTTAGGATATTATCATAATTTAAGATGTGTATTGGTCCTCATTGGGTTCTCTGATGCAAATTGATTATGTAGAAAGTTTGAGCCTGCCAACTATTAAAAATTTCCTGCAATATTAGTAACGAGGTAGCGTTACTAAGTAGGATTCACCCCGGCCCAAACAAAATGGCTGCCACGACTTTGCAGCCTTGCTCATACAGGGAAAACAAGCTCCTATGCTCACCAGACTTCTTAGAGGACATTATGTTGACCAGAGGACTCCATTGGTACCATTAGCGTGGCTCTAGACCTGGTCTAGGAGGAAAGTGAAAAATCAGCAAACCGGCCGCCACCTTTTTAACGACCTATGGGCGTAGCCCCCAGGTTGTTCTATAATTGATTTCACCCACGTGCTTATGTTTGTATACCGTATAGGGGTTATATTTCACTGGTAATAAATTTCGCAAATGTCGCGTTTTCATTAAATTTGTGAAATTAAATTCCACAAAAGAGGTGTGGCACACTAGTAAAAATGGCTGCAGAAGGTAAGATTTGCGAAAATTTATACCAACAAATGGCAAATCTGAACAAATTCGCGAAATTTTATACCAACAAAATAAAACCCCTATACGGTATTATGCTATCTCATGAGCAGGTCACGAAGGGTTGTACAACTACATTTCAGAAACATTTCAGTATGTTCTACAATACTATTATAAATTATTTCCGGTACGTATCGGGTGGAGCACATATGCTTCTATAATTAATAAAATGGCGTCGAGAGGTACCTTAAGCCTACTATTTTTAGCGTCTACTAAATTTAGCTATATTAGCGAGAGAGCTTTAAATTGCTAAATTAAATAGACGCCAAAATAATTATTATTCATTATAATGGTTATTGTTTATAGTTAATTTGGTTAAAAATGCTAAAATTAGTAATGCTAAACATGACTTTTTGGTGATTTCGCTAAAATTAGTAGATGCAAATAATAGTAGGCTTTTTCCACTAATTTGCCATCTTGCACCGTATTAAATTGATTTTCAAGGAATTTGATTTCGCGAATCACAAAAAATCTGCGAAATTTGCAAAATTTGTTAGAGTCAGCAACCTACTATCGCACACCATCGATATTCGAGCACTTTTTCTCACAGTTCAGTGATCAGAAGCCAGTGGCAATAATTTTATCTTGTAGATCAGATGTTCCTCTACAGCTGTAGCAACTTTCATAGAGATCCGTCTTTGCTAGCTGTGTTTTTATAATAATTTGTTAGTAGAAATTTCGAACACATGCAAGTTTGCATAGACGCCATGTATTGTCGTTTACCTATTTTCGCTCAGTAACAAAGTAACTGGCAAACAATTCATCATATTCATATCAAAGCCCTGTCTTTCTGCTCCATGATGCACTATTCAGTTACAAGAAAGAGCTAGTCTTCACTGCGCTAGAGTTGGTTCTTTGGAA